TGGATGGATGGATGGATGGATGGATGGATGGATGGATGGATGGATGGATGGATGGATGGATGGATGGATGGATGGTAACCCTAGAAAAACACAGAATTCGATGTCCTTTTTATGGAGTAAAACTAATACTGCACTGTGAAGACATAATTTCCTGTTTTATAACATGGTAGTAGCAGCATCATGTTGCGGAATTAGTTTTTTTCTATCCTTATGGTCAAAATTGATGTGAAGATGTTTGAAGCAGGCCAGTCTTGGATTAAAACCTTGTTCCACACAAGATGTGAGACTAAAGGTTCAGGTTCCACCACGGCCATTAGAACCAGGACTAACTTAAAATAACTAATTTGCTTTTCAGAAGAGTCCTATAAAAATCCATATTGAAATGCAAATGCATATTAGATCTCATATTGTTGTGATGTATATTTTAGTATTACATTAAAGTGAATTGTTTACATTATATACTGTAAATATGTGATAAACAAACTCTAAAATGAAGCCTCGTGATTAAATGTAGGCTTCCCGGTTTTCCACTCCCACCCCCACCAAGTATTTCGTAAAAGACAGTTTCCTTGTGATTCGTGGAATGAAGGTGGGCTGCCAAACAGCACGTATGTTTACTTGATCTGTTGCTTCAACTGTTCTGGAAGCGTTTCCTTTCTGGGAGGATCCAAACGTCACTAACCACGCCCTCCAAACACTCTGATTGGTCACTTTAGTGGCAAAATAACATTGCTCTCCTCTGATTGGTCATCTTAGAGGGTAAATAAAATTCCTCCCCTCTGATTGGTCGAATGACAGTACTTTTCCGTCCTGCTGTCGCTGCAGCTGCAAACCGACCAAGTCTGGATGCAGAACCTTCTCTAGGATTATTGTTGACACAAACTGGACCCTGAGGATACGGAATCATATCACAGCCATCATGAAGTTTGTACGCTTTATAATGAAAAACGCCGCGTTGGCTAACGCGCCGAAGCACATCGACCATTTCTCCAAATTCTCCCCATCTCCGCTCTCCATGAAGCAGTTCATCGATTTCGGTGAGTTTTTGTTTTTAATCGGATTTGGTTCATTTTTGCAGAGATACGTGAACGGATGGATTATTACCTAAACATTACAACATATAATAACACAGTGGATTATATTTTGTGTAAAACAAAGCATGCATCTGCAAGCTGCAGTGTGCTGCTCGGAGTGTTGCATCAGATCTGCTGCAAACTCAGCACCATTTTGCACCGTTTTCTCTTACTGGTCCAAAAAAAAAAAAAAAAACAAGTTTTAATCTGAATAATTTTCCTTATATGGTTAAATGCGCTAAAATAAAACAAAAATATTGTTTGGTTTATTGGATAGCCTAAAAAATAGTGGAAAACAATGTTAATTTGTGAACAAATAATAACTTATTGCTTGCTTTCTGTCTGATTATTATGTATAATCAAGTTTATTTTTTATTCATCCTTACTAAATATATAGAAAAATAATCTTCCAGCCTGTAAATATTTATACAACATTACTTTGTTTACACTTGTGTATACAGAATAAAAAAATAACATCTAAGTCGTATACTTAAAAAATTCACCTGATTAAAGTTCTTATTTAAACTATAGAAAAGTTGTTTAACAAAGAATTAAAATTCAGCATTTATGTGAGAGCCTTTCTTTCTGTCAGTTCAATATTTATCCCTTATTTCCAGGTTCCATCAATGCCTGTGAGAAGACATCGTTTGTCTTTTTGAGGCAGGAGCTCCCTGTGAGGCTCTCCAACATCATGAAGGAGATCAACCTCCTGCCAGACAAGCTGCTCACTACTCCTTCAGTTCAGATGGTGCAGAGATGGTAAGTTGTTTATCCAGGAGGGCGCCTATTGATTTACAGTGATCCTGGTTATCTGCAGTCTGAAACTGGCCAGGTTCCTTTACAGACACAGCAGCTGTTGTTTGCCACAAACTGGGGCGGTTTATTTGCTCTCATTAGTTACATCATGCTTTGAATTACAACAAAGCCCTGTGACCGAGTTGTGCTCTCTCCAACTTGCTCAGAGCAGAGGATGTGGGGAGTGGCTCCGAGCTGTGAACTTTGTCCCACTTTCCTCGTCACAGGCCCATCTGATCTGTGTTTTTCTCACTCTGCTATTTTTGTTTCCTTCTTAACTTTCATTTCCTTCAGTTACTCCATCTTACCTCCTATGTTTATGGATTTTCAGGTATAGCCAGAGCTTAATGGAGATCCTTGATTTCCTGGACAAGAATCCAGATGACCACAGAGTGCTTTCAGAGTAAGATTTTAGTCATTATTCCAGGACTGTATTTTTTATTTTTTTTGGTTCTGGCAGATGTTTGCAACTGAATGCATAACTGTTTTCCCCAGGTTTGTTGATGCCTTGGTCACCATCAGAAACCGACATAATGACGTGGTGCCCACTATGGCGCAGGGGGTCTTGGAATACAAGGAGGTCTTTCCCCAGGATGTGGTCACCAACCAGAACATCCAGTACTTTCTGGATCGCTTCTACATGAGCCGCATCTCCATCCGAATGCTGATCAACCAGCATAGTAGGTCCACTTTTCAAATAAATTATTTTATTTCTCCTTTGTTTTGTTTGGGGTCATTTTTCTGCCCTGAGTTTATTGTAGATTTTTCTAAATTTATTTCTTTGCAAAGCGTTTTTTTTATGTTATTTTTTTTAAACTCCAATTATTGCTTTTCATCTTTGTTTGTTTTAAGATTTATTTTGATATTGCTTTTTTTGCATTCATTTTTATAATTTGCTCTATACAGTTTTTGTATTGAAGAAATTTATTATTATTTTTATTTTATTTTTATTATTGAATCTGATGTCCAGGTTTATTAGATTCCAAATTTTATTTAAATTTTTTTCCCTCTAAAAACTATATCTGCACAGATGACAAAACTGTGCTGCAGGTTCTTTAAATGCAGAAATCATTAATAAAGAAATTATTATCATTATTCATCTTAAAAAATGGTGCAAATTCTTATTTTTGGTCTGTTTTAAATCTACAGGATTGGGGTAAACAAAATCTGATTAACTATTTAATTTTCACATTTTCAAATTTCGCTCTAAAATATTCTGATAACCTTCATTTGCATAAATTGTTTTTTCCACATTCCTTCTGAATTTTCCTGATGAACAATTTAATCCCTCTTCATAATTAACCCTTAAAAGTATGATTGTATAATAGATTTAGATACATTATATGATTTATCAGTCTAACAAAAAAAATCATAATTTATTTAGTCAGAATCAGCCTCCCTTTATTTGACGCAGATTTACTCAGCTAGCAATTATTCTTTCTTTTATGGGGAGTTTAAAATGCAATTTTTGCTTGTTTTGGGGGAAAGGAATCAACAGAATCATGTGTTTAAATGCCACAAACCGCCCCTTCCTTCATTGTTTTCTGGGAATTCTGAAATTATCTCATCCATATTAAATTGCAGCAGTAATACCAATATTTTCGTTTATGCAAGCTTATTGCAAACATCATGCGCCACAAATGATAAGAACCTAACCAAGACAGGAACAAATTCATTAAGGGTGACGGATCTATCAGCGTGTTCTTCATTAATCAGAGTTGATAGCTTATCTTTTCTAAGCTGGCTAAATGTTTCCGGCCTTTGTGCATTAGTGCTGCAGCACAATTCGAACATGCAGCAAAAACCTGCAGAAAGCGGTGCAGAAGGAGAATTATTTGGTGTAATCTGGAACGATCCTGCACTATCTCGAGTTCTTGTTTGTCATAGTGCTTGTATCATGCAGTGTGTCGAAACACAAACTGCTGAAGTGCACACAAACCTGATCCAAAGTGGAATGTTTCAAAACTGCTGTTGCATGAAGAGGAAACGTCAAGAGTTATATAACCTCCATTGTAACTGACCTGCTTCACACCCGGGCAATTTTTCATGCCCTGCACATATTTCGTATCTATTTGTCCATGTTTCATTTTAAGTACAAAACTAAATCACTGCATGTGTGTTTGTGGTTATCATCTTTAATGCTCATATATATAATTTGTTGGTAAACTATAATAAAAATGAGTCCACCTAATTGTTTTCCCCTTCTTTATTTTTCTGCAGCTCTTGTTTTTGACGGCACCACCAACCCAGTCCATCCAAACACAATAGGAAGCATTGACTCTCAATGCAATGTGGGAGATGTAGTCCAGGGTGAGTTTGGACTCCTTTTATAATCTAAAAGTGAAATGATGTCTGACTTTGTAGTGGTTTATGATCATGTTTTTATGCTTCAGTTATTTAAACACCAGTATTGCAATTTGCTTTCTTTTTTTTTTGGCTTGTCTGCAAATAATACTTGTTTCCTTTTTATTATCAGATGCCTTCCATAGTGCCAAGATGTTGTGTGACCAGTATTACCTTCGCTCCCCTGATCTGGTACTGCAGGAAATGAACCGTAAGTTTTCTCTCTTATTGATTTGTTTGAGGTATTTATACTTTATAGCTTTGAACTTTTCTGGTGCAGCTGGCTTAAATTAACAAAAATTATTGTGAAGCAAAAAAAAAAAGGTGTCCAAAATAACTGCAAAAATAAAAACAATTGTTTGTTCTGCTTTTATATTGTTTCCTTTATTTACTGATAAAAAATAAAAGCCAGAGTCACTAGTTGCCTTGAGATTTAACCCAATTATTAAACAGAGGGTTTTGGCTATATTTGCAATTTAATTAGAGACTATTTAGAGACAAAGCAACATGGCTCACAGGAATAGGAGACATGGGCAACACCCTACACTAAAGGCTTAAAGGGGCAGGAGCTGCAGAGATTTCTCGCTCAGGTTGAGGTATCTTTTAAAAGGATTACTTATGAGCTCCAAACACAAAAAAGTGCAAGTTCTCAACTGTAGGTTTGATTTGATGATAAAAATGTGTATGGTGTAATCGAGGGAGGAGTTGGCTCCCAATCTAGAAAACAAACCTGTTGGAGCCTGCAGATGACTTGAGATGGGGGTGGAAGTTCATCTTTTAACAGAAAAACAAAGCTAAAGTTGAACCCTGGGCTACAACGGAAACTTTACATCAAAACATGTTTATGCGTTAGAATGGTACCGACTTAAAAAAAAAAATGAAAATCTGTGGGTAAATCTTACAGAAAATAGCTGTTGATGTGACAGAATGTCATGCAAAAGACGCTATAATCAGACCTATTAAAATCAGTTTGAAACATATCTAAAATATTCTGTATTGATCCTTTAGATTCAAAGCCATTTTGTTCGAAAAGCTCAAGACAAACAAGTAGAAGTGATGCAGACGAGACTATAAATGAACTATAGATTTTAAGTCTTTTGTTTGTTTTTTTCTTAAACTGCAGACGAGAAGAAGAGTCACCCAATAAGCATCGTTTATGTCCCCTCTCACCTGTACCACATGCTGTTTGAGCTTTTCAAGGTAGGAGACCCCACCTTTTAATTCCTGGACATGCCTAAAATAAAAATCATTAATAAAATTAAAGCTTTCTTGTTTTTTTTGTCTTTTGTAGAACGCGATGAGAGCTACCATCGAGACCCACGAGAGCAAAAACAACCTCCCACCCATTAAAGTCATGGTTTCTCTTGGTGGAGAAGACATGTCAATTAAGGTGAGTCAAAGTTTAAAGTGCAAGTCAACAACACGCAGCGGTTATTTAGATAAGACAGGTGAAAAATAGCTATAAAACTTTAAAAGGTCATAAAAAATCATGTCTTGTAATTTATAGGAAACTCTAGCAGGAGCTGAAAAACATCCGCTCTGTTTTTTTCTTTCTTTTTTTCCTACTGTTCATAAATTAGTGGTAGAAAGGACCTCCATTTAAACGAAGGTCGAAGAATATCTGGATGTAAATAAATTACATCGGTTTTGCCTCGGTTTCAGGTAAAGCCAACATTTCCTGGCAGATTTCAAAGTGGTTTTTGCTTTCTGAGTGTTTTATCTGTCCCCAGTTATGTAAGGGTTCAGCCCTCGTTTCATCACAGCTTTCTGTAACCTCTCAAAGTCTGATGAGATAAAGCAATATTGAAACAAGCTTTTATGGCCGTCCCCATCTTTCACCGGAATCGCCACTTATCTGGTTACAACTGGTTACAACCGATCCAGTTGAGCAAACAAGCAGGTCGGTAACTATTGGAGAGGGAAACAAAGAGCGTCCTAATGGCAGCCACGTCGTTTAGGAGGGAAAAGTGCTGAGGTTAGAAGAACTGGGAATCATTTTCAAGGTTGTAAAGATCGTCTGCAGCTAACAGGGGAGCTAGAACCAGATAAGATTTCTTGTATTTTACATTGCAGAACAGAGAAACACAAACAGTGACTCCTAAATAAACGAGCATCCCCAAAATTAGTAATGAATTTAGTTTGTTTTCTTGTTTTTGCCAAATGTTTTCCACCCACATCTATTCTAATTATTAATCTTCCTGGGATCATGGATGTAAATTTTGTCGTAACCTGTAAACTGACCCAACCTAAATCACCAAAGCCAATTTTTAAAAAGCCTGAATTAAATCAGCTGCTGTTCTTTAACCCTTCTGAGGGTCCAGCTGTTGTAATGGTGGTCAGTAGCCTTATTATGGCAAGAGGAGACTGCAAATTTGGATGCACCACATTTACCAAAACTGTAGCGTTTATGTTTGTTGACAGGCTCTTAAAAAAAAAAAATCATCCAATAATTCTTTGCTTCCCGTTGTCCGACTGCAGGTCAGCGACAGAGGCGGCGGAGTCCCCTTTCGCAGGATCGAGAAGCTTTTCAGCTACATGTACTCCACAGCTCCGGCTCCACAGATAGGCGACCACAACAGGACACCCCTGGTAAGTAGAGTTTCCCTTCAGACCTGTTTTAATTTCCATTTATTCCAAATATATGAAATCCTCCATAAATGGAACCCTTTAAAAAGAAAAGGAAGTACAAATCTGTTATAAAATTTAACCAGGAAAAATAGGTGTTATAGAATCATTTGATGTTCTATTGCAGTGGTTTTTAATAACATTGTCTACCTCAGGCCATTTTTATTTGTCTCCATTTACTTTAAAAGTAATTGTTTCCTTTAGATCGACGCTCTTAGCTTAAGACTCTTCAGAGACTCTTCCAAGCACCAAACTTTAATCCTTCCCCTTTTCTCTGCAGGCTGGATTCGGCTACGGTCTTCCCATTTCCCGTCTCTATGCAAAGTATTTCCAGGGTGATCTGCAGTTTTACTCCATGGAGGGTTTCGGCACAGATGCTGTCATCTACTTGAAGGTGAATGAGTTTGAGCAAGGAATTATCCCAAAACAACCACTTGTTAACAGCCTTTATACTTCTTAACTTGTTAGACTCGCTGGGAGGCTGGTTGGTTAATCCTATTTTTGCTGATGTGTCCCTTCAGGCTCTGTCCACGGACTCCATTGAAAGGCTGCCCGTGTACAACAAAACTGCTCTGAAGAACTACAAAGTGTGCCAGGAGGCAGATGACTGGTGTGTGCCCAGTAAAGAACCACTAGATCTGCGCAAATACAAGGTGGCCTAGTCAGAGAGGCTTTGGGAGCAACCGTTGCTTTAAGACTTCAGAGAATGGGGTTCTCCTTGAAACATGTCTTTGTATTTCCACGGGTTCATCCGCCGAGGCAGATGAGCTTCTTTAACCTCCCACAACCAGAGCAGATTTCAGCCTGTATCACCAGTAGCATCGCTTCTGTCATTGTTTTTGGTTTTTGTTGTAGAACATTAGAGAAACTCAGAACTGCTACTAACAGGATGCTTGAACAAAAGCAGCCAGAGCGCAGCTGAAACGAGAAATGGCATCAACTGGATCAGAGTGGAGTCGCGCAGGTACGGGGAGAGACGAGAGCCGCCCGGCCCGTTTTATGGGTGCCAGAAAAGGAGCGCTGATTAAGAGTTGGAGTGGACTGAAGAAGAAGAAGATGAGGAAAGTTGTAAGATCCAGCCGCTTTGAGTAAATGTGAATGCTTTTCCATAAGGCAAAAAATCTTCATTTCCGCTATGCCTAAAGTAGCAAATCCCAAAGGCATGTATTTTTTTTTTATACTTGAACTATCACCACTGATATTTGCACCTTAAATTGTATGGTACTGTAATGCTGTTTGGTTTGATTTTAAGCCAATGTTAAGCTTTTTGCCTTTTGCATGAATATTCTTGCATACTTTCGTATTTCAGCCTTTGCAAATATAAAAAACTGATATTGCACCCAGTTGTCTGGACCGGGCTGAATTAAATCCTTCGTTTTTGGGGGTTATTTGTTTGTTTTTTGTAAATACTACAAAGAAAATGGGCACTATTTTTGGCAAGCTGCAACTCTGTTGGGCCCAATTTTTCTATCTTTGCTTATGACTTTTCTTCAGCTTTGTCTAAAGGCAAAATGCTTTGAAACAGATTCAGTGTATATAAGTGTTATGTCCCGAAAGGTGGAACGTTTGACGTTTTAAAGCCAGTTTCTTTGGTTTGTTTTATTGTTTTGTTGTTTTCTTTTTGTACACTGTGCCAAATGAGACTATCATGGGTCCAGATGTGTTCAAAACAGTTTTGATTGTGTTTATCTAACTCATGCAGTATGGAAAAGGTTATTTTTATAGCTACACTTTGTGACTGAATTAATTCTTAATTCTGTTAATTAAAATGAAAATACCTGAAAGCAAAATGTTACTTTTGTCTTGATTTCCTGTTCTGTGCTTAGAAACAATCAGTGTCCTCTTCATCCTTATGGTAAATTAAAGCTGTGCAGAGGATCATCAGATCTGTATCAAATTTGACAATGAAATAAAAGTCAGCAGCCAGACCTTCCATCATCAAATAGCTTTAAAAAAAATAAAAATAAACTTGCTACCTGCTTGGCTACACTGCTAACTTCTGCTGTTGGCTTCTTTGCCTCCTAGTAGGAACTGTTTCTTCCACTGTGAAGCCAACAGATGATGTGGATCACTTTGTTTTCCTTACATTTCTGGCGCAACGCCCAGTAAGGAAGAGGTTGCAGCGGGTAAACAGAGAAGGGTTGGTTTGCCTGGTATTTAAAGTATGTGAGACTCCTGCAGCTGAAAGCTCACAGCCTCTCGTAGTGCTATTAATAGCTTGCTTATACCTTTTGATATAATTTTTTTATATACCACAAACTGGGCTGTATTATAGGGAAGTTTTTTTTTTAGGTGTTTAAATATAAAGACTGAAAAAAAGGCCAATTTTTGTTGCAATTAAATTTAGATTGTGATTTGATGAAGAGCCTCTGTAAAAAACAATCTGCAGATGTTGCAATAAATTGAGAGTTGAATTTAGGTGTGGATTTTAGCCATTTCTAAATGGGCATCTCAAAATTCTTGATTGAAATATTTGCTTCCGTGGCTCCTGGGATGTAAGCCTCTGAATTTCTTTCAGCATTTCCTTGTATCTCCCTGCATCCATCTTCTCAAAGAGAATTGCCTGCCTACATTATACTCCTCATTCATCATACGTTTAAAAATCTAAGAGCTAAAGTATTTCCAACAACCTTTAGTGAGAAATTGAAATCCAACCGAAGCAAAGCCCCTTTCAATTCCTAACAGTAACCTGCTGTTTGAATTTTTAACTACTACAGTAATGTAGATCAGTTACACCATGGCGTGTTGCTGATTAAACTCTAAGCTACTTAACTGAGGCAATAGTTGATAAATTCCCTGTAGGCCTCTTTAAGGTGATTAGTTAGATCTAAAATAAGATATTGCTGTTTTGAAAATCTTTTTAATCAGTGTTTGGTACTGTGAAGCACATTGTGGCTAAAAATAACCTTGAAGGAAACGTTTTGGGAAAAGGAAAGTTTATTGTTTGGATTTCAAATGTTATATAACTGCATCAAGAATTGTACTAAAATTTTTGTCACAAGATAAATTTGTTTATTTTTGTAGCAATTGGACTCTACTTGGAGTGCCCCATGTAGCATTGCTGTAAGGAAATGTCTAATTTCCTCATATTTCAACGTCAGGGATGGACTGTAAGGGGTCTAATGTCCTGACCATCAAAATCCGAGCTGCTTCTCATTAAATTAAATCTAATCGGATGTCCCACATTGTAGATGTCCATCAGGTGCATACCGGTAATTTAGGTGGCCTACCAAAGGCCAAGAAGCTTGAGGGTTCTTTAAATATTACATTTTATATGGCTGTCACAATTTGGCTATGGTTAGTTGACCCAAAAGCAGAGACAGGGAGGCAGAGGTGAATCTCTTGTGATTTAATAACGAGTTAACAGAAAACAGAGGCAGGTTATCCAAAAATAAAACAAAGTCCAAACAAACATGAAACCAGGAGTCCAAAAATCCAAGAAATTAAAACATGA